TTTTTTTTTTTATTACTGTTTCTACTAGAATTTAATTCTTTACTGTGATGTTCATGCACTTAAAACATGTTTTGCTTTATTAATGATAGTTATAATAGTCCATTTTAAATCCTTATCCATTAGCTTCTACATCTTGAGGTCAGACTATATTGATTTTCTTTTTATATAAGAATGTAGTCTACTTTTTTTGTTCTATTTAATTGTGTAAAGTTGGATTGCATCATCAGTTTGATTCTGTAGACTGTGGATTCTGTTGTTTTCTCTAATGATACTATTTCCTTCGTTTTGATTATCCAATTTCCTCAGCTTGGCTTGGGCTACAAACTGTTTCTTTTGTAACAGTGTCAACTTCTGTTCAGATCTTTCTTCTCTGACTGGCTGCAGTCAGTATGTTCCACATAAACATGACTCATGGGTAAGAGATGGTTGTAGACAGAATATGGAGACCCCCCCACCCCCCATCTGGGTCTTTTCATTCATAACTTCTCCTTGCTCTTTTCAGTGTTCCCAGTTTCCTACTTTTCTGGTTACCCAATCCATAAAGACTGCTGGTTTTCTTATGCTTGCCTCCACTCCATGTGGACTGCACTTAGTCCGGGGATGAAGGCCATGGAGATGGAATTTATTTTTATAGTTTTCCTTTCTTTCCCCAACATTCACACTAGATGAACTCCCCACCAGAGTCTATATGCTTTACCCACTCTCCAGTATCTTCAGGTAGTTGCCTTTTGTGTAAGATCCAGATTTTTATACTTGTTTTCTGAAGGGAGTAACATTCAGTAAGATCTTAGTCCTTCATAATCAGAAGCAGAAGTTAATTCAATCTTAAATGAAATAGAATCACAGAAACCGAATCACAGACTCAACAAAAAAACAGTTTCATTAAAGAAAGGTAAATTTAAATGACACTCACAAACTATTGTCAAGTAAGAACTGTCATAAGACTTTCTTGGATAAGAAATTAGGACATCAATCCATGTATCTTAAGAATCTACTGTGTGCTTACTATTATGTTAAAGTAAGCAACAGAATGGTCTTCACAAAAGAATGTGAACCAGAAGGACAAAGAAAAACATAACTGATGTGGTGAACAATGAATGGAGGGCTGGGGGAAAGGCAAAACAAAGTAGTACTGCGGTGACATTATTATAATAGCATCAAATAGATCGAATACATAATATATAAACTACATAATAAATATATATTAAAATATTATATAATAAATACATAAGAATAACAAGGTAGTAGGTTATGACTAGTTCCATGAAGAGCAGGAGTTTCTGAAGAAATCAGTAAGAACAGGAGGTACCCCTTAGCCTAATGCCTACACTGGGTTCCCCCAGCCAATGACTTTCTAGAATCCCTAGGAAATAGATGTTTATTTCTCCACAAGCAACACCTACCTACATTCACTCATACAAGTGTTCTTTCTTCTGGGAGAGAACAGATGTACACTGTTGTTCCCATTCAACCTGTTACCTGATTCCCTTCCCCTTCTGCCACCCAAGACTTAACAGCTAACAGGGCAATTTGGAATATTTATTTATTTATCTGAATATGAAAACTTCTAGGATTTCTGATGAAATCTTATTTTGAAAAGCTTATTTCCTTAGGAAATTATAAGCTACCTCTCCAAACTTAGATGCTTATTTGTGCATTTATTTTCACTGTCTTGTTCCAAAAGGGATTTAAAGCAATTAACTGAAAAGAATATAACCTTGCAAGGAAATAAACCAAAAACTCTCAAGGATGTAAAAGTTAAGTAAAGCAAAATATGGGTAGAAAGTAAGACAGAGTGTTTAAGAATTTGTACAGACACCCTTTTCATAGAAATTCAAAGTATTTGTTTTGCTTCAAATGTGTTTCCTTCAGTTTTGAAGAATCAGAAATAGTAGGGTTTGAATTACAGGTTATTCTATTTGAAGATATGCATATTTTCAATATTCACATGACAGATAAAAGCTAGTATTAGTAGGCATAATCTAAAAATAGCAAAAGTCTTCCCTGAAAAGTACAAGAGGCAGAATAAATGCTATATAGTTAATCTCATACATACTGATATGCACATTTTGTATTGGTTCCTATAATATAAACTGTTTCTACTATGACATATGGGTAGACACCCATGTTAAGGATAGAAACCCTTATAAGTGACAGCTAATTGTTTGAACACAATGAAATGAGTCTTACACAGTTGAAAATTCTTTTAATATAAAATGCATTTAATATAAAAGATCAATGCTTTCTTTAAATATAACAGATTTTAAATAAAATATGTGGCATGTTTTACAATGCACCTAACTAAACTTTGCTAACTTTTTCAGGTTCTAGTAAACTTCACCGTAAACAAATCTGTGCCAGTATATGAAAAAAAATATTTTTTTCAGCTAGAAAGTGATACCCCAAAGCATTTAGTTCCCAAAAGCTTCTGAAGGGCCCTTTTTAAACAATCTTATCCATAATGTGGTACAGTACTGTTCTATCCAATATGATAGTCACTAGTCACATTTGGCTATTTATATTTAAAGATAAATTAGCTAAAATTAAATACAATAAAAAAACTCAGTTCCTCAGTCACACGAGTCACATTTCAAGTTCTCAGTAGACACATGTGGCTAGTATTGGGCAGTGCAACTATAGAACATTTCCATTACTGCAAAATTTCTCTTGCACAGTGCTGGTCTAGACGATAGCCCAGGAGACAGAAGAAGAAGGCTCATCTAGAAGACTGATTCTGACAATTAGCTAAAACTCCCTTATGTCTTCCTTCTTTAATACTTATGCACTGAGTTTCCAAATTCAAAGCAATGAATTAGTACATATTTTATAGTAACATAAATCCTGCAGCAATATTTGTCTCTGATTATATTAGTATTCTAAGGAATATTTTGTAGAATTAAGAAAACAGGGAATTCAGATTCCATCTTAAAAGTTCACATCTTTGATATACTTGTAATAAAGACAAGGATATGAACACTTATACAATATAGTTACCTAATAAATTTTACATATTTTTAAAAAGGTACAAAATTTAGTATGTGAAAGTTAGTATTATCATATATTCAGAGGATGCCACAGTATGCTTTTACACAGAAAACTGTCAAATATTTAGGTGAACCAAATATCAGATTAGTTATCTACCTGATATTGTGTTGTTCTCAGGAGCAGAGAAATATAAACTCGGTAAGAACTTTGGAAACGCCCAAAGGAGGTATAGGAGACATTAATTCTGTGGCAGGCAGATGGTTCAGCTCAAAGATTTTCAATTATTTTAATAAATACTTGCCATTATCTTCTGAAATTAGTAGTGTCTGCTAAGGTTGTTAGTCAATACTTAAAATGTCTCATTTACTGTGTAGTAATTATACTCAGGCCAGATTTAAACAAGGCAACCTGAACATTTTTCATTGCCAAAATATGTCAAGGTTAGAAACAGACTCTGCACTGTTTCTGCCCAAAATTTGAATAACATACAATATGTCTACCATATCAAAGTTTAAATAAAATTAATATATAAATAAGGCAATTAGGGAGACAGAAAGCTGGTATTAATTATTTTGTTGGGTTTCTGATGTATAGTTTTCAATTTTTTGTTATTTATGTATTTCATAGAGGATGAAAAAGTTTACTTTATATTCTAAAAGTAAATAAGTAAAACAAACTTTCCCCCCAAAGGTTGACTTACTGAATCATTCCGACCAAAAAATGTATATATTGCATATAAGTAATAATCAAATAGCTGAGACATGAAATGGATAACATCAAAGGCAATTGGCTTAAGAATATTCATCATCTGCATATATTTACCTGAAAAGGAAAAAAAATTAAGTGGAACAAAATTAAAATCTGTTAATCTGTAATTATAAAAAGACAACAAAAATACTTAACCAAAGTACTTTTTAAAAATGAAATATTACATTCCTCATCACAATAGCCACATTTCAAGTGTTCAAAAATCATCTGGACTACTGTACCAGACAGCTAGTGGCTACTGGACATCACAGATACAGAATAGTTATACCATCTTGGAAAGTACTATTAGACAACACTGATATAAATAATACCTACAAAGGTGTTTTTATATCATTATATTTTACTGTTTCTCAAATATTCATGGAAGTCCTATAAGGACAGTATCACTTCTACAAATGACATTGTACATACAGCACAGTTCCTCAATCTTGGGAGATTCCATTTAAAGTAATTTCTTCAAAAATGTTTAAGCATAATAAAACAAAAGACAATGTCTTTGAGAAAAAGTGGGTTTTTTTTAATAAGCTTATATACACACAGCAAAGTAAAAAAGAAGAGAAAGGACACATGGAAGGCACTTCCTATTCCTGAATCCCAGCTCTGTGAAATCTTGTCACTGGCTAAGAACACTTCTTTATCGCTACATCACTCAAGAGCTCAATACTCTCAAAGCACCAAGAAAATATCCTCCTTGTCCCTTCCTTTGGGAGATGCTAATATTCTATTCTCTTTCCTCTAAATATATGATACCATTACAGAAAAAAATTTAAAAAGCCAAAATTCCTGCATTTATTAACTTGTTAATGTACTTGAAGGATGCATAGGAAAGGGATTGAGTCAAATAACAAATAGTAACAAGTTCCTAATTGTGTTTCTTTTTTACAGGAAATAGGAAAAGAAGCACATCTGTACAAAAAATGCTCTTCTGCAGAAGATGTTTAAACAGGCCATTTGCTTAATTTCCAAATGAGAAAATAATTCAGGTGTTTAATCTACTTCATGTAATTGCTATAAATTTTAAATTGGTACTACTGAAGACATCATGACTCAAAATACATTAACTGCAGTAGAAAAAAATGATAAATGTACTTTAATGGAAATGTCTACTATCAAAACCATTTCTTTATTCTCTAAGAACTCAGTGCATCTGTCTTCATTTACACAAGAGGTTATTCTAAATAACAGACAGATGGTCAGGAAGAAAACACATACACATCAAAAAGTAAAAGCCATTGAACTCAGATTCTTTTCTTACTCCTATTTACAAGTCTTCAGTTTCAGAATCATCTTTTGTAATTATTTCAAATAATCAGACACATTTTTAAAAATCATAATATTTCAAAAATATGCTCTTAGAATATTCTGGATCACTATGCAGATATTTTATCAACTAAAACATACATTTATTTAGACCCCTGCTATTTATACATAAAATAATGTGACACTGTGAAGAAGAAAAAAAAAAGGAAAAATATTATGCCACATTATTTTAACCTGTAAAAGAGAAAAAGTAGTGTAAGTAGAATGAAAATATCTGGGTTGATAAATATCTAGAATACAAAGCTCCTCTCCATTCCTAATAAAAAAAACATCTTATTTATAATAATAGATGTCCCCCATCACTCTGAAAAAAAATTTTTTTAACATTCTCATTCATTAATTCAAGACATTTAACACTTTTTAAAGGCATACTATACACTTGGCCTGTGTTAAGACACAAGGAATTATGCAGAGCTCCTGCTCTCATACCTTAAATGGTTATATATGGAAGGCAGCCATCAATAAGCAGGCTGCCAGTATATTAAAGTATATAAGGGTGAGAACTCCATTTTTCATGTTCAAGAAGACAAAGTAGGTATTTAAAAGACCTAAGGAGGCTTATATACCAAGCCCCCAGACTTACTTAAAAGAGGATTTTCAATGAATTAAGCCTGTATCTATGAAGAAAAGGGAATGAGGAAGTAAAGGTAGGTAGGTATGACCACCAGAAAATGAGTAATCTTAAAATATTTCTAGACCAGGAATTGGCAAACCTTTCCTGTAGAGGGCTGAAGAGAAGATAATTAAAGTTTTGTATGATACAAGTTTCTATGGCAACTACTCAGCTCTGTCTCTACAGCATAAAAGTAGTCACAGACACAACACAGAGAAGACAAATAGTGATTTTACAGCATCTTACTATGTTAATGGACAGTGACTGTGAAGGGGTATGTGGGGGGGGACTTGGTGAAGTGGGGAGCCTAGTAAACATAATGTTCTTCATGTAATTGTAGATTAATGATACCAAAAAAAAATACATGTAAGTAAAAATATTCCTAAAAAAAAAAAAAAGAAAAAAAAAAGTAGTCACAGACAGTATGCAAACATATAAGCATGGCTGTAACGCAATAAAACTTTATTTACAAAAGTGGCCAGACTGGTTTGATCTGCAGGGTACAGTTCGCCAATCCGTATACCAGATGACAGACAGTAGATGGCAGCAAGTTGACAGACATATGCAAAGAGGTCAATAAACCATAAGAGCACTACAAAGGAGGTAGAAGCCATCTGGTAGGATGGTTGCTGACTGCTTAGAATCAGAAGGTACAGCAAGAGAGCTAGGGCAAGAAATGAGACTGAAAAAGTATGAATTAATTGAAGGTCCACATATGGGAAAAACTACCAGTCTGCATATTTCCCTCCACCACTATCCCTCACCAGCAGTACAGGCTGTCAGAATTTTCCCGCAGACAAAAACAAAAGAAAATAAAAACTGTTAGCATTTCTCTCTAAAAGAAGCAAATAAACCAAACAAAAAAATGAGCAAACTTAAAAAAATAAATTAGAAGAGCTAAGGCTAGTGTGGATGTCAACACGACAGATTAAAATCTACCTCATTCTGGGAAATTGGAGATTTGCCTCCCAAAAGTAAAGGCTGCTAATAAATCTAGCTAACCCTGCTCTATCTATATAAAGTTCTCAGTTGGGATTCCTACCGAGTCAAAGAGCCAGCTTGAACAGGGCTCTAGTTAATAGAGGACACCCACAACAGCTATATAGGCCTTCTATTTTAGATATGAATAGATAATCAAAAATCACAAGGTCCATAAGGAAAACTCAGAGAGTGAAAGTAAAAAAGAAAAACTGCTCCCAGAGGACACAAAATAATTCAAGCTAGAGAAATATAATAATTATGTAAAACCCTAAAACAGGAAAATATGCATAAACACAAGAGACTATGGAAGAACTCTTAAAAATAAAAAATAATATTTTTAAAATAAAAATTAAAGAAATGAAAAAAAGGAAGTCTTCCAGAAGGTACAGCAAAAAGACAAGAATATGGAAAACATTAGAGAAAATCTGAGAGAGATAAAGAGGCAATAAAGGGACTGAATACTTGAGTAATAGGAAATCAAAGAGAAAAGAACAGAGAAAATGGGAGGTAGAAATCATCAAAGAAATACTAGTGTCATTCACACCAGAGGAACACAAGAGCCTTCAGACTGAAAGGGTCATGGACTGCCCAACATACTTACTGAGAAAGGACTCACAACAGTAAAGAATTTTGAAACATCAAGGGAAAAAATACTAAAAGCTTTCACACAGAGAGAAGAAAGTCACCTGCAAAAAAGTGAACAGAACATTAGAGGTTTTCAACTTTCTGAGGAAATATAATTTTTAATCTTCAATTCTATACACAGCTAAATTGCCATTGCAGTGGAAGAGCAGAATAGAGAGATACTCAAACAGACACAAATTCAAAATGTTTATCTCTCATTACCCTTTCCTGGGAAATTACAACTAGAAAAAAGAAACGGAAATGATGAAGAAATTGCCTGCCTCTATGCTGGAGGCAAGGAGCAGCAGGGTGCGAGACTCCTACCTTTCCCACGAGCTCTTCCTCACTATTCCATGTGTACGTGTGAGATGGGCTGCCTTAATAAAAACATAAAAGCATGGCTCTGAAGTTAGCCTGCTTAGTTCTAAAAATGTGGTCAGTGGTTCAAGACACAGCTCTGATGCACTCTACTCTCCCCTTTTTCCCTTCTAGAGTTGCCTACAGGGGCACAGGGAGAAGAGTGGACAGCATGCTTTGGGAACAGAATGCTGAGGAAAGTTATCCAATATACAGCCCAGGTGACCAAGAAAGGCATCTCTTGCCCAATTATGAAATACAAGAAGTTTCTATTACTGCTTCCAACCTATGTTATAACCTCTCTGAATTTTGTCCAGTGATAAAAAATTAATGTTCCTGATTTCCTCTATTCCTTGTGAAGCATGAAAATAAAGAGCTTGCTGGCTCTAGGATCACACAACCTGGGTTCTACCACTTAACAAGCTGTGTGACATAAGGCAAGTTACTTATCTTTGAGCTTCAATTATTTGGTGTGTAGAAAAGGCACTTTGAAGAATTTATGAGAAAATTCATGTGAAATGTTTACAGAGTACATAATAAGGGAACAAGAAATCTTAGTTATGGCTATTTTTCAAATAATTATAATTATGATGAATGCACTAAGGGAAAAGTACAAGGTATTATGTGAAAGGAACCTAACCTAATGAGGAAAAGCTTCAGAGGGGAAGCACTGTTTAAACTCTATCATCCTAAATGTAGACCAGAGTCCTGCACACTCTTGGGGAAGAAGATGCACAGAGGGACTGAAGAGAAACCAACCAGGCAGCACCATGGACAACAACTACAACTGGGAAGAGAAGAGCGGCCAACCCCACCAAGTTCAGGAGAGGCACTGACAGTATGCTGACCATGCAAAAGGTGGTCCGGGGGCGTTCAGTGAGCCACAGCTCTGTGCTGAGGAGGGAACACAGGGTAAAGAGAAGGTGCTGGAGGCGTGGTGGAGGGGAGGACAGGGCCAGGGCAGGGGGGCAGTGGGAGGAATGCAGGATTTCTTCCATTGTGGATTATGACAAGAAAAGGGAAAAGTGTTTCTCCAATATTCAAAATTTTTTAAATTAAAGTTTGTCTGTCCAACATTATTAGGCACCTAAAAAAGTGAAAATTGCTTGGCTGGGTGTTCTATATGCTGCAAAGATGATGCAAACTCTCTTTTCATCTGTAAGAGATGACATGCTGATTGGGCAAGAGCCAAAACAGAGCAGAGTTAGAAGGATGTTCATTACTCTTACTAGAGTACGCCAAGTTGAGAGATCACCAATGGATATAAACAGCACATAAAAGCAAACTGGAAATGCTATAAATGAGGCATAAAGGAAAGGAAGGAAAAGTTAGAAATTTAGAAAAATGTAATGAACAATGAAGTGAAGACCACAGCAAAAACTGAACTGGCCTGTTTACATAAGTCCCTTGCTACCAGTTTTTATTCTGTTTTTGAATATTATATCTTAGCCCCCAAAGATCCAATACAATTTTCCTATAACATGTAAGGAGGGACACCTGATCAACTTCTTGGATCATCCTCTCAAAACACCATGCTGCATATACAGCTATCAATTCATAAAGTGTAAGATATAAATTCATATAAACAGTAGTAACAAAAATAAAAGTATTTTTAGAGAAACAGAGTTAGTGGAACGCAATCTAAATTAAACAATGATAAATTATTTTTCCTTAAACATCCCATAGGAAAATGCTAAGTTTCTTAAAAGGCAACTTTTAATGTTATGCCCATACAGTAGTTTCAAGGTAAATCCTGAGGCATGTGCTGGTTTGTATTTTTTCCAGCTGCTAAAGTAAAAATTTCGTAGCAAAGGTCTGTAGTTTTTATAAGCACAGATTTTGGCACCTATATTCTGCTCCTCAGACCTATCATACCCACACGAGTGAAAGCTACCTCCAGGAGAGAGAACCTTGAATAGCAAGTCTGTTTCAGTGATGAAGACACATTCCCTAAAGTTTCTCTGCCTCTGTCTGCAAGAAATTCTAAGGCTGACAAGATTTTCTCTTTACACAAGCAAGCGTTCTGATTAGTCCTCCATCACTTGTGAAAGCCTCCCTTTAGCCATTCTAATAAATTTAGGTACTACCTGGGGCTGGGAAACCCCATTAACACTCTTTTGTTTAATCTCACCTAATTATCTGTCAAATAAATACTACTTGAAAAGGATGTTTTGAATATGTCTTTAACTACTGAGTAATTAGTTCCTTCATCTTCCTAGGCACCAAAAATTAATCTTATTTACACAAATGCACTTCTGGTTTTCTAAGAAGAGACATCACCTTTACCAGTTTATAATCTTCAAGCACCCCTAGGCATTAACAACAGGCTCTGGAATAGTGCATTTGTTAGCTGGAGACCCCTGAGTGAGTGTCAGGAATGTTCTATTTTATGAATATGTACAAACTGAAGATAAAGACATCACAGTGAGACAGAAAGTCGTAGGCACAGAAGTCTGCTGGGGGGTGGGGGTGGATAATGACAGCACCTAATCCCAGGCCTAATTAGGAAGACATGAAAGTTAAATTATCATATTAGGTATTGTTTCCTAATTGCAACTCCAGTAAAAGATCTGATGGTGGTGAAGGCTGAGATTACAATGGTCAGATTCTCTTCCCAAGTAAGATTTATTCAGACTGCTCTGCTTTATGGGGCTGACAGACCAAAAGGTCCACCAGAGTACAGTTTTTCTCAGTTTCTATAAATCCACTTTAGGAAACAATGTCCACTATGTTGATCAGGGATCCTTATGTAAGAATCGGTTGTTACTATCTTCTGGATTTAACAGCAGCAGCACACTGATACCGTAACATCCCTTTCTTAGATAATGAGGATGGCAGAATGCATTGTTTCTTCACTTCCTTATGCCTATACCAAGAATTAAGGAGTTGTATTTGCTGTTTACATTTAACTGAATAGAATGTGATTTCCCCCCTCTTTGGTTTTGTTTCAGCCTTATATTTGATTTGAGTCTACTGAATACATGTTGTTTAGAGTAAAAGCAACATGGCAACTCCTTTTTGAACTGGGTGATGGAAAATAAATATAAACAATGACTTAAATGTGGTTGATTATATTTTCCACAATGATTCCCTCTACCCCATGCCACCCTGCACTCCCTGTAAGATTATGTATCCTTGTTCACTGCCCTGGACTTGCAGTGCCTTCCTGCGGAAGAAGTATACTTTTCTCTCCTACAGTGAAGCCTGACCTCCTATGGCACTGACATGTCAGAGGAAGTATCAGGGTGCCACCTCAGAGCACAAGCTTTGAGCGTCCTAAGAGTCATGTTCAAGATTGGTGCTCTCTTTCAGCCTGCATCACAGGATGAAGACACACATGGAAAAGAAAGAACTACGAACACCAGGAGCCAACAGGTACCACCTAAACCTCTGTGGTCTGAAGCCACTGCTGTGTAAGGGCAGTTTGTTACTCCAACACAACCAAGCAAAAACTGCTTTCATTAAACTACATCTCAAGCAGTGTTTCATATACTGAAAACTACAGTGAATCCAGAAGGCTGAAGAGGATAACACAGATTTTTTTAGTATCTTTCAGTAGGGACCACATAAAGGAACTGTTAGTATCTTTCAGTAGGGACCACATAAAGGAACTGAGTGCACTGACCTGAAGAATAGATTGAAGATGGTGGGGAGGAAAAGGAAAGGAAGATCAGTATAATTACTAAGCATACCTGAAAAGTGACCATATGGAAGAATAAGAGAAAAAAAATGTGGACTTACTCTTTTTGTTTTTAACTGCAGATTTAAGAACAACAGAATTACAGAGGCAGATAGATTTTGGTTTACCATAAGGAAGAGATGTCTACCAATTAAATCAGTCTAATAGAATGAGTAAGCTTGCAAAAAAAATGCTTCCAGTGACTGTGAGACATGAAACAAACGGCTAGATGGCCACTACACATTAGGGGAATTACAGAAAGAATCCCTTATTTTATAGGAATTTATGCCAGATGACCTCTCAGAACCCCTCCAATTCTGATTCTGTAAATTCTAGAGACTAAAGATGCTTTGCTCAGCTAGCTCTCTTGGATGAAGAAGAAAACCTAATCTCCCTGCCATATTCAGACATAAAATTGTTTTTAAAAATCTCCTTTTTCTGTGTGTCATGAAAATATATACTTTTCTTTTCTTCTCAATTCATTATTACTTTTTCACTGTTTTCCCTAAAGGAATCTGGACCTCTAAAAAACATTTTGTCCATTTTATCTTATTCATTAATGAAATTCAGAAATTATCTTCAAAGAACACAGATCATCTTATAAGAACTAAGAATAATCAAGCTAGACATTAGGAAATTACCATCTCCATAAACAGAATACAGAGAATTTGAGAGAAAATCACTAAAATTCTTGACTGGTATATGACTTAATTAATGTGAGAAACATCTTTACAAGTTATTTGTCGAATGTACAGACTTATTTGTGAGATATAAAGTCTGAGATAGCATATAAAATGTTGAAATGCTGACATTAAAAAACCCACATCATCTTCAAACCTGAGTATTTTAAATGACATTTCTTCATGTTATTTGCCTTCTAAAAAAATCATCAATAAAGGTCTTATCTGTAATAAGAACAACTCTTGCTGAGGTGTGAACATTAAGCCTGTAGAACTCTTGTGTCTGAAAATGCCAGAGAATACTATTAGCTCTGCCTATTTGACAGGAAGATTGCAAAGACCAATGAAACAATTAAGTATAAAATACTGCATAAATGTAAAACTGGTACTATTGTCATACTACACATATCTCTAACTCACACTGATAATTTTTCATTACACTTCAATTAATTGGAAATTTTTTTAATAAATGGAAGACACATATACTTACTATGTAGTTGGCTGAAAAAGGAAAACTGACATTAATGTTGGTATTATACTATGTGGAATCATTAAAATGAGAAAGCATTGACATGTGACACTCTTATCCTTTACTGCAGTGGGAACTGGAGTATACAATGAAAACTCCAAGTAAAAACCATTTGGTAATAAAAGTAGACTAATTTAAGTGCTACTACAATGTTTGTTTAAAGAAGTGTGGTTACTTACCAACAAGTCTTATTACGTTCAATGTGGTATTTGTTAAAATGGGTGCATTCACTTTATTTAGACTATAATCTGATTTCTTCCTGCTTTTTAGGGTTTCTCGAGAAACACTTAATAAGGAGAAACAAAAGAGTTGCAATTAGGGTTGTCAATCAGTAAATCAGTAAGTTATTTAACTTAGAATCGAACCCTCATTCAAGAAACAGGTGCTAAAAACCTTACCATGTTATCAGGTAGGGACAGAGAGATTATCCTCTTTCACTTATAGAGCTTTTATAGTTCAGAGGGGAAGAGAAATTAGTAAGCAAAGGAAGAAAGTACTATAGTGTATTTCTTTGATTCTGAGATATTAATTATCAACCATTAAAAGAAGCTATGTCACACTAAATAAAAAAATAGATGTTTTAGGTACATTACACATCAAATATATCAAGCATCCTGATTTCACTGCTACCATCCTAAGTTCATGCAAAAAGCATCTCGGTGTCAGATTATAAATATGAAAAAATACCCTCCTTAGAATGTGAGTTATGTATAAGGTATAATGGTTGAGTCTGGGGTTGTATGGAGGCACTAGATTCAAAGGAGAAGTAGAAGTTATATGGTAGGTGCAAAAAAGGGGACAACATGTAATAACGTCAGAGGTCAGAGAGACCAGAGTATACCTGGAGAAGTTCAAGGCATTCACAATGAGTGGGCCGGGGAAAAGCAACAAGAAAGGAAGTAAGTAAAAGCCAGATCACTGAAAGCAATCAGCCTAAAGAGTATGAAACTTATCTTGAATGCAGTGATGAGCCATTAAAAATTTTCACCAGGAAAACGACATGACCAAATTTGTACATAAGAAAAAAATGTATAAATCTGTATCCAAGACCAGATTAGAAGGGGACAAGACTGGAGAAAGAAACCAAGATAAGGGGGTGAGATTCAATAATCTGACACCATGATGCTTTTTGCATGAACTTTGGATGGTAGCAGTGAAATACAAGAATTCAAGAGACATTGAGAAGTTGGGATTGGCAGTAATTGTCACCTGATGGGCTGCAGTTCGTAGTTCACATTATTCATACTTCTTAGGGTAAGTTAACAAAGTTTAGGAGAGTAACTGCATAGCCTTACCAAAATGCAATATATACACATATAATGGCAGACAGCTATCCTACTCATTCATTTCAATTTATTAGAGCTCTCCTTTTAGCCAAAATACACCCAAGACATCCAACCAAGTCCAACAAAATAGTTGGACTCAGTTCATGGCTGAACATAGATGGAGATATTTAAATATCATACATATGTGAAAAACAATGGAAATAAATTTTCCCAATTAAAATATCCACAACTCATGCATTGTTTGCTTTTGAGGAGAGATTTTATCAATCAGGGTTTCAAATCCATCAAGTAACTAGGTATTTTGGGAGTAAAGGTCAGAGAAGAATATACTTAAATCATTAAACATAAGAAGTATGTTTGTGTTCACTAAGTGTGTGATAGCTATGAAATTAACTTGCATTATGAGTATCATACCCACTTAACTAAAAGATAAAAAAAAATTCTTATATAATTATCAGAGGAGAGTTTATCACAAAAGAAAATTCAAGTACAAAATAGGAACCTTAACAGAAGGCTCAAGAGTGGACATAAATGACACTGGAAAGACAAATGGAGACTTCCTGTGAGGCCAGGACTTCACATACAAAACAAACTACTGCTTTCCTCCACGAGATTTTCTGATGTATGTGAAACATAAACTGCCAGGCAGCACTTATCTTATAAACTGAAGTTTGTTGTTCCACAAAAAACCACTGATCTCTAAATTAAGAGCTCTTTGAGTATGCCCAATATTTTATAAAACTACATTTTTAGTCCTTCAGGAATCATTTTTAAAACACTAACTTCTGTCACATGACATTTAACAGAAAATTTTAATTTTTAATTGTTTTTTCTTAACCTGTAAAGAAAATCTTGTACATTAAGCATGCAACATACAATGTGAAATACAGTACAATCTAAGGACAATTACCTTTTCACAGGAGCATCGCCTGTTTGCTCATCCACATAATCTCGTTTCAGTTCCTCAGGAACATCACTGTCACTGTCATACTCCTGATAGGCACTTTTTTCTTGTTCATCAGATTCATACTGAAGAGACCACAGTATATTCAACAATGGGTAGAAAGAACCAACCTTTCTTAGTCTTTCAATACAATAAAAATACTCAATTTTATAAGAAATAGCTTACAGAAGTTAGTTCTTAATAACTTAGTTTTAATTTTGCAATCAGGAATCATATTAACCTTCCATTTTCTTCTTCATCATCTACCTTAATTAGTTCAAAAGAAAAAAGGGAAATAAAATACAAGCATTATACCTACAAAAATTTGTAAATGTCAAAAAGAAAAAATTAAATATCCATATAAAGAAAATAAAGACACAAAAACAAACACTTTGCTCAGTCGTAAGACAGGAAAAAAGGATACATTTGATTTAAAACAAAAAAAATCTTCTCTTCCTCCAAGTGGTCTGGCCATACTTACTTCCATTTTGTTAAGTCATTATGAAGAGGTTGGCATTCTGGCACTCTGGAAATGTTAATTCAGTTCAATCAACACAAACACCACACATGCTAATGTTCTATCCAATTCACTTTGATGAGAGTTAATTCCAGAGCAGCTTAGAAAATTAGGCTTAGCACCTAGGACCTACTGAGAGCAAGGACAGAATGCTGGATTTCCTCTTGAGAGGAAGGGTGCTTTCCTAACACTTCCATCATCTTCACGGCACCATAGCCCAGTACCAGGACAGGAGAGGAGAGTGGAGTCCACGCACAGCAAGGAAAGCAGTGGCTTCAGCATCAGCATCATCGATTAACAGTACAAATTAACATGATGAAATAATGGCTAACATTCATTAAGTTCTACCCAAGTAATGTGCTAAATGCTTTCATGAATTACCTCACTAAATCTTCAAAACAATTCTATGAGGAAGTTTTATCCCCATATGCCAGTTGAAGAGACCAGAATGATGACAACATGGAAAGAAGGTAGTCCCCTAACTCAGCAACTATTTTTGAGAGTCTAAAGCATTATGACAGGCCATAATAAGAGGGTAGTCGGGAAAAAAGGTGCAGCTGATCTATTCCTTCACCCATCTATCCAACAAATCATGTAAGTATGCAGTACAGATAATAAACTCCTACTCATCTAGTAATTTGGTAATAATACAGAGTAATCCAATATGAACATAAAGTAAACATAAAGGCCAATTTATCTTTCAAACGGACAATGTCAACAAACCATATTGTAAGCCCTTACCTGTAATAATCACGGTGTAGAATCACGGGTAGGTAAGTATATAGGTAGGAGAGTGGAGACTGAATGGATGGATAAATCTAGCCAACTACCTCACTTGTTGAATAGGACATTTTTCAATTCAAAAATCTCATTTATGTCCCACAATACGTTTTAAAACACCACATACCCCATTAGAAGCCAGGACGTCTTCTGTTTCTTCATCTTTGTGGTTGGCTGGAATTTCAAATGGATTGCCACCACTACAGTACTGTTCAAACAAGGTCACTGTTTTTGAGGAAGTTGAGGCTGGCTGCTTACTAGGTGAAACTGAAGGGGAACGAGACTGTTCCATGAATTTAAATTCCTAGACATTAAAAAAGAGAGCCAGATATCTTTTAATAAAAGTAATAAAATTCAAATACATCAACATATTTCATCAAAATAAATGTAGTTACTGAAAAAGCTATTTGATCCTGATTTTTTCAGTTATTCACTCTTAAATCGTGAAAGCTGTCTAAAAGCTCAAATTTAGAAATACATGTTCAGAGGATTTCCTAAAGCCAGCTCAGCTGCTGATACCAATTAAAATAGTGTCATCTGCATCAAGCTACTTTAGACTTTATAGAACTGCAGAGAAATTTTTTGAAAATAATTTTAAAAGATAATTCTAAAAATTTTAACAGAGCAACAGAAGTCCTAGTACAGTTTTAATCAATAAAGTCATTTATAAAAACTAATTGCTGTTAGGTCAAACACCTTGCAAACTTGTATGTACCATTTAAGATATTCTATATGAATACATCAAAAACAAAGCATGAAGGATATATCTGTCTATTATACTGGTGACTGTAAGCTTCCATTTATTTTCCTTCATATACCAAGAAGCAAACAACACAAACATGTACGTTGAGGTCAGAGGACACATCTTCTAGACCTAACTTGCCATTAATCCATTATATCCCATTACCTTCCTATACAATATTGGGAATATCACCAGGCTTCCCTGTGCCTCAATTTTCTCTCATCTGTAAAATGAGACAGTCAATACAGAATGAGAATTACAAAGGCTAAAGAGATGTAGCACCCAGTCCAAATAATGCATTTCCCAGATGAGAAAACTGAGGCAGTCCACAGGGATTTAGTTCCGAGTTGAGAGAGAGAGGAAGAGATGGAATTATCTCTGAAGTTCCTCTGATTTATAAAATTCTTGATTTGATGATTTTTCACAAAAATTGAGTATACATTTTTTTATACCTTTAAATTTTTTTAGTATTAACCCCAAAATAAAAATTTTTCATATTTAGTGATAATTTTCTTAAAAATTATACTGGCTTGTTAAGTTTCAAATGATATATTTATTTTCTTTTTAAAGAGCAACTACACATTAAAGCAGACCCCTCATAATGCTTAAACATCATATCATTTTTATAACTCAAAACATTGGATGACTATAAATTAAAGAAAAATTTTTTTAAACCATAGCTATAGGAAAACGTGTAAAGTGAACACTATCTCAACTGTGAATCTTTTTTTTTTTAATTTTATTTTGGTATCATTAATCTACAATTACATGAAGGATGTTATGTTTACTAGGCTCCCCTCTTCACCAAGTCCCCCCCACATCCCCGTTCACAGTCACTGTCCATCAACATAGTAAGATGCTATAAAATCACTGCTTGTCTTCTCTGTGTTGCACAGCCCTCCCCGTGCTCCGCCCCAACACTATACATGCTAATCGTAATGCCCCCTTTCTTTTTTTCCCACCATTATCCCTCCCTTCCCACCTGTCCTCCCCAGTACCTTTCCCTTTGGTAACTATTAGTCCATTCTTGGGTACTGTGCTTCTGCTACTTTGTTCCTTCAGTTTTCTTTTCTTCTTATGCTCCACATATGAGTGAAATCATTTGGTACTTGTCTTTCTCCGCCTGGCTTATTTCACTGAGCGTAATACCCTCTAGCTCCATCCATGTTGTTGAGCATATTAGCATTAGTTTTTTTCTTACGGCTGAGTAATATTCCATTGTGTATATGTACCACTTCTTCTTTATCCATTCATCTACTGATGGACATTTAGGTTGCTTCCATATCTTGGCTATTGTAAATAGTGCAGCGATAAAAATAGGGGTGCATCTGTCTTTTTCAAAGTGGAGTGCTGCAGTTTTGGGGTCCTAGAAGTGGAATTCCTGAGTCAAATGGTATTTCTATTTTGAGCATTTTGAGGAACCTCCACACTGCTTTCCACAATGGTTGAACTGATTTACATTCCCACCAGCAGTGTAGGAGGGTTCCCCTTTCTCCACAACCTCGCCAACATTTGTTGTTGTCTTTTGGATGGTAGCCATCTTTACTGGTGTGAGATGATATCTCATTGTGGTTTTAATTTGCATTTCT